GGGTCCAGGCTCAAGGTTTGGGCTCTTGCGGTAGAGATTGACATATGGGATTAAAACCGAATTAGACAGAGACATGTCGGCCAACTGTGCAAGGCCGTCGTTGAGGTACACTCGAGCCGTACGTGCTGCGGCCCAACGGCCTTGCACGAGCAATTTATCGAACGAACCGTGCTGGTTAAACCAGAACGTCGCGCCCCCTCTGCGCAGACTGTAAGGTCGAAAGCGCAGGTCATTCAATTTGAGTGCCTCAATGGCTTTGGTGAACAACGCCCGCCATGCGTGCGGCTTGGGGGCTAAAAATTTTGACGGGGCATTGACTTGTTTCCATTTCCAGAGGTCTGGGAGGATCGACCGTTCATGAAGCGTCACGCTCTCGGCCGCCCCCTGGCGAGCTCCTCCCTTAGTCAGCCCCAACGAAAGGACCGCTGGCCCCTTCGGCCCGGGGATGAAGACGTCTTTTGCCCGTAGGCTCAGCAATCCTCCAGTGCGAAGTAGTCCATAAAAGGCTATCCGTAAGGATAATCCAAATTCAGGGCATCCTTTGAAAATGGACCGTCCACATAATGCGTCCAGAATTTGAAGGGTCATAGGTGGCGCCCGGTTGGGGATCTCAACGGTGGTCCAGGCCTTGAGCAGTCTCCAACTTCCTGGGAGTTTCTTCTTAAGCGAAGGGTCGCGGTCTTGTAGGGCGGCTAGAGTGTTGTTAGCAATGGACCTACCTTCTCCAGAAGCCCAGAGATGTTCCAGGTAGTCGCTCACCAGCCCGTCCAGTCGGGCCTGCTGCTTTGGGAGGACTAAACCCTCCCCTGTCATCCAGTCGAAGAAGCGGTTGAGACATTCAGTGTAACGCTGCCTTGTACGGGGCTGGACTGTTAGCCCTTTGAGAGAACCTAACTTGTTTCGAACCTTCTTTCGCTCCTGTTGGCTTTTCCCTTCCATCACTTTCGTAGTTGTTTTACCCATTTCTTGCGAAGGGGTCGGCGCGAGGGCCGATCAGCGGGGTTCTGGTGGGTGTCCACGTAACCCCACACAGCAACAAGACCTCCTGCCAACTGAAGCGCTCCGATTCGACACAACGTTCTCCTCAACCTTCTGCTTGACGATCTCCCCCGTGACAAGGCATGCAACACAACCAAGGAATCAACCAAGTGCAAGAACCGACACTCATTCTCCTCCAGCTCCTTCAACCTCCAAACAATGGCTGTCTTGACCGCTCGTAACTCAAGGGCGTTGATGTGCTCGATGTCCCCGGTCCAGCGCCAGCCAGCGACATCCTTCCACCTCCAGAGTTTGCTCGGGATGGACGCTCTCAACCGGTGATAACGAGCTGGGAGATCTGACCCCAATTGGAGCAGGATGTGAGACTTGACCCATCAAGCGAGCCACTAACCCAGACTGTGCAACACCCGGCTTCGTAGTTTGCCTCATGGGGGGCCTCATCAGCAGGCTGGGCAAGTACTGTTCTCGTCCAGGCGTCAACCTCTCCACAAGTGTAGCAAGCCTCAACTCTGGGATCAGCCCCAACGTCCGGAACAGACAATACACCAAGTATGCAACCACTGGAATTGACCAACTGTTCCCAAGAAGAGTCAACCGGCAATCGTTGTGAGCTGCACTTCCTTCCAGGCTCTTGACTAAACACCTCCGGGTGTAATCCATGGGAAAACCTAGGATCACCTCTCTTTCCCTAGTCGACGGAACGCGCAACTCTCCTTGTCTGTTGACGACGCAATTCTCCTCACGATATTGGTACGGTGGAAAGCGATGGAGATCACCCTTCCACCTGGCTACTGCATCCGGGGGACAGAGTGCCAACCCTGCTGGTCGGCGTCCGGGAGCTGCCGAAGGTCGAGCCGTGGTAAAAGTGGGAAAAGGAGTTTCCGGCCGGGTTCGCTGCCAACCAGGTTCCAGGAAATCACGTTCATCTACCTTTGCCTCAAGCACTACCTTACCTTTGATTGGGAGGGCGCCTTCCCTCCCCTCGACGACCTGTGCACCTTCAAGTGACAACGGTCCCCAACTGCACCAGTACAGCCGGGGCCGACGGGCCAGGGTGAGTCCACCGGCATCAATGCTCCAAGGCATAGTGTCGTAGGCCGCTGACATAGTCCGGCAATCGCTAGCGTCCATGGAAGCGACATTCTCAACAAGCCGGTGCACTGGGCACCATTTGAAGTGCTCTCGGAGGAGGGTCTCTATCCTAGGGACGTGCTGGAACAAGCAAGATCTCTCATCTTTCAAAGCCCCTTTCCGGTCTGAGTTCAACCCCGAGACGCCTTGACAAGGCGGTCCGGCACCCAAAAGCACAAGTCCAACGTTGGCAAACCGCAACCTCCACTGCAAAACATCTTCACTTGTCACCCTAGCGACATCCCCTACGCACACCACGTCCGGGAAGAAGGACTCCACCACACGATTGGCCTCCGGAGAAATCTCCACCGACACATACCCTCCTACCGGCACACGCAGGGCATCCAAGGCAACTCTAAGGGCACCAATGCCATCGAAGAGCGAGACAACGAGCACCTGGTCCATTTCCTCCGGCTCTATGACATCTCCCCTACATTCAGCCTGGCACGCTGCAACTCCAAATGGACTAAGTTCCCTAGACACGCAGAGACCTCCTCCCGTGGTGGACGCATCGCTGGCAGTCACCAATTCTGAGGTGGTCAACCTGAAATCCATATAGGATAAGGGACTCAAGGCGACAAAGCGAAGCAGCTCGATCATGACCTCCTGCGGCAATGCTCTCCTCGCCACTGGACCAATCTTGCCCAGATCAGTGATTTGCTTCCACACGGCGTTCAACCCGGACAACAACGGTCTTCGGAACATTGCAATGTACACAAAGCCTCCTCCGACCACTTGCAGCTCCCGCTGCGAGGCCCTACCAGCCACACAGATCTCAACTGCAAGTCGAACATACCTACCTACCTTGTCCAACTTCGGAGTAGCACGACCTAATTCACCGTCAACCCAAGCGCCTTGCACTTCAGCACGGATCTCCTGTGTAACTGCCTTCTTTGGATGTCGTGGCAACCCCAACTGTTGGTAGGTCTCACGCACTGCCAGGGTCCATGCCGACGGAGTTCCCTCCAGTGTCCCTGCCAACCGCTTGTCCACCTTATTCAACTCATCATAGTTGTCGAGATAGACCCTATACTGGTGCCCTGCCGAGCTTTGTTGGCGGTCTCTCCGAATTTCTTGTTGTCTGCTGGCGAGCCTCCTGTCGCCCCCCAGCGCCTGCTGGATCACCCGACGGTGGACATGCTGTGCGATTGCCACAGAGTTAATAAACCCCATGGGCAAGACCCTGCTAACGAGGTGCCAGCCTCTGCCAGTGTAACCTGCTGGGAGGCCCTCTGGGGGGGCCTCCCGTCCAAAACCCATGAAGCGGTGCCATTCTGGGGGTGTCCGAAACAGGCAAAAGAAACACCTTATATCCTCTGAGGAAGTCAAGAGCAGCTCCCCATCTGCAAGGACTGTTCCAGACATCCCTGTAACCGTAGGCAGAGTTGAAGTGTCCCCCACCAAATTTCGGCATAGCCCGTTGGTTGGCACTAAGTTCATGATTAGTCGGCAGACCTCGAATTCTTCGCCTCCTTCATCCACTGCTCTTTCACCCTTCTCTACTGCAAATAATCCATTAAGAACTGGACGCCCCTTCACATGAAAAAGATCATCCCTCTTCATGAGTCCACAAACCCCCCGATCGACCAGTCCCAGGCACACCTCCGCCCAGTGCTCTTGGCCCACCATTGTGGCTGGCGTCTTTCCAAGGCTTTGATCCTGGGGCGGCAAGAGGAATCTTTCAAAATCGGACACGTAGGAACGGGTGCCACCCTCACAAAAGCTCAACAAATCCAGAGAACCTACACCCTCCGGGAAAGCCGCAGCGATCATCTTCCATTGGAAAGACCTTGCCACTCGGACCTCTTCGCCTGAATAGTCGATGCCCTTTGTGGTGAAAAACTCTGCAAAGGTGAGAGGGGGAAGAACTGTGCGGGGTAAACTGCTGGACTTAAGCACACCTCTCAAGCGCTCTAAAATCCTCCTCTGAACCTTTGAAACCTTCTTCTCACTGTCAGATCCAACCCCAAATAAACTGTTCAAACCTCTGACCAGACCGTCCAATAAGGGATCCTCGTCCTCACACCATCCTAGCCTCCCTGGAAGTGGGAGAGGAAAGATACCCTCCGTGGACTGCCCGCAACGCGTGGTCTTCGACAATACCTCCAGGGACTTCGATAGTGCGGGACCGCGCAAGCGCTCATCAGTGCCTCCTGCCATGACATGTGGCCATCAAGCTCTGTCAATGCCTCTTCCTCGCGGCACGGGTTCAAAGCCAGTCGCGAAGTGGGCTGCCATGCAAACTGGGAGGGAACGTTTCCCTCCCCTGTACTCCTATAGGAAGCTCCTCCAGCAGAAAAGCGGCGCTGTCCACGGTCCATACCTGTGGATTGCTTACTCCATCCTTTCAACTGGGAGGGTCCTCCATCCTCCCTTCCCCAGCCCGGCTCATCAAGCGGTCGTTTCTGCCTCCTCGACGAACCTCCAGGGTTATAACTTCTGCCTGCCTCCTCTTGCACATTCCTCTGACATTCGTTCAGCATCTCTTCAATTGCCCTTTCCATATCTTTCTCCTCACCTTCTTGCCTATCCTGTACCATTGACCTGCTCTCTGACACTTCACTGGAGTCTTTCCCCACTCTGCATCCCTCTGTCCTGCTGCCAGCCTTCTCTACCTCAGCTTCCCTCCTCATTGCTCGTCTTTCGCCTTCTTTCCCCGTTTTCCTTTGTCCTTCCCTCTTCCTTTCTCTCCTCCTTTCTGCTTGTATGAGGGCTCTGAGGTAGGGACTGGCTTTCCTCGACCTTTGGGATGCGCTTCTCCTTCTCCACGTTGGCTCAAACCATGCGGTCGGTTGCCGATCGAGCGGTTTCGAAACTCATCACGGGCACTCTTCGCTGCCTCCACCTGTTCTGCGGGTTCCGAAATCCTGATTTGCTCGGCATTCACCAACTCCAGTTGACGCGAAACTGAATAGTGGCCACCTCGCAAGGTGGCTTCGAGAGACTTCGCACGTTGGACGAGCACGTCCATCGCTGTGGCCACCTTTCTTCGCAACAGCAAATCGGTAACCTGAGCAACCGTCAGCAATTCCTGCCACATCACCGGGCTTGCTAAGCCTTGCAAGTGCTGGTGCGCGTACATACTGAGAAGCGGACTCAATTGCTCCCTGGAGATGCTGTGCAACTCGCCCCTCGAGGATAAAAGGTGTTCACGAACGTTGTCGATGGCCTGTGCCGTCAAGGCCCCCGGGCATTTCTCACTCAACCGACGAAGCCTCCTTGTTTCTTCGAAGAGCGGTCCTTCCCCCTCCGAATCGTCTTTCTCCTCTGAGGTGGTCGAAGTCGAAGAGCCTGACCCGCTAGAGCCGGACCTTTTCCGCTTCTTCTCCTTTTTCTTGCTCACCCTTCGCGCCCTCTTCATCAACCGCTTTCGCCTTGGGACGTTGGGATCAAGGCAAGTGTGGCTGAACAGCGCCCGGGCCGTCTTCTGCCCCCGCTCCAGCTCCTCTGTCTCTTCACGCTTGGCCAGGAGCTCATCATACTCTTTTTCAGTCTCTCTTTCCTTTTTTCTCTTCCTCTTGTCTTTCTTCTTGAGCTCACCCGTAGGCGACTTGCTCCTCCTCACCTTCTCCTCTTCTTCTCTGGGAGGTTTGTCGCCTCTCCTGCCCTTGCCTCTCTCCATTGCAAGCACCCTCAAACCCGCCAGCTCGTCCACCTCCAAATCCTCTTTTCCTTTAGCTGGTATCAGGTTTGTATGCCATGGCTTCGGCGCAACACTGCAATCCCAATAGCCTCGACTGTGGAAGTAGTCGTCGCCTGTGGTCAATTGGGCACACCCCGCGGGACAGACATGAACTTTGACAGTCCGTGACCTGCTCCCACCAAAACGCTCTAGAATGCGCTCTGTCATAGTCCCAGTCAACTCAAAGCTCAACTCCTCCTCACCAGGGTTCAGGCTACGGATTCTCCCTGCCACCTTGGCGTGTGCACCATAGTATGAAGTCTCCCCCAACTCCACAATGTCCAACGTCCTCAACCTGTCTAGTGTCAACGAAGTCAATGCATTGTACTCCTCAGTGATAGGCTTATCCTCTCCTTTCTCTTCTTCTGCAACCCGCCCAGCCGGCCGTCGAGCCACTCTGACCCGGGCCGGTGCTGCTGCAGGCCTTCTCACTTTGGGAGCCATTGCTCCCTTTACCAACGCTCTCTGTATTGCTTTCTCTCGAAGATCTCCTGCTTAGCCCTCTTCGTCACCCCCTTGTTGGTGCCTTCCGTCCAACGAGGATGATGAGAATAGGGGATAGCGCCTCTCCAACCCTTTCCTTGTCCACTGCCTCGTCCTCCTCCGGGATGAGATGAAGTGGCCCTCGGGGGCGGATGATCCGGCGTCTTTGGCGATCTTGGCTCTCGCTGACTAGGCCTGGGACGTAGGTACCCCTCACGCTGGATCCCACTGCTTGCTCTCGTCCTCTCGTCTATCTCCTCTCTGGGAGTCAAAGTCCTCCCTTTTCTTCTTTCTCACGTCTGAGCCGCTGACTGATCTTGAACCACTTTCTTTCTTCCTCTTCTTACGCTTGTCCTTCTCCTTCTGATAGTTGGGAGTCTTAGATCTCTCCCTTCTGCTCCTATCCTCCTCTCTCCTCCGGGGCAATGCTTTCTTTTCCTCACTCTGCTGAACTTCCTTTACCTTTTCTTCCTTCTTTGCAACCTCCTCTGACTTTACAGGCTCTCCTGTCTGCACCGTCTCCTTGGACTCCTTCCTTTCGCCCGAATGGCCCTTGGGAGATCCCTCTCCCCTGGTACTGTCTCCTCCGGCGCCTTCTCCTCGACCTCTCTCCTCCACTGGCTTGTTCGCCTTTTCCGCCTTCTTCAGGTTGGGAGACCCTTCTCCCTTTTCCGGACTATCGTCTTCCGGCACCAACCTCGAGATCGAATAAAAGGCCGAGTCCAGTACCTTGGTTACTTTCGCCTCGGCCTCGTAGGTGGATGGAATACGAGGATTGGCGATCGAGGCAAGTAACCTTTCAGCCGAGGTGCAAACTGGACACCTGTCTGCGAGTAGCGGCCACTTGGCACACTTCTCACAGATGGGCATTCCCGTTCGAGCCCAAAGCTACGTGGGATAACCAACTGATTCGTGTTTAGTTATGGGGACATTCAACCATACTGCGTCTCAGGCCGATTGCTCTGGCCAGAATATGTGCTCGTAGGGAATCCAGCAGCCACTCGCTCCGATCTTCCCCGGGCGTTAAAGAAGTGCGCCTTAAAGTTGTCAGCGGCGCCGGGACAGCGGCTCACCAGGAGCTTCCGGGCCAGCTCTGGGCCTTGGACGGCTGGAGACGTCTGGGCCAGACTTGTTATGCGGGAGGCTGGAGGACTGGGTGAAGCTTGAAATGTCCAGACTTCGTGGACACTAAGTGTAACAATAAGCTACTAGGAACAAGTGCATCGCTTCTAGTAACAAGTGCCTTACTAGTAGTAACAAGAAGCTACTAGGAACAAGTGCATCGCTAGTAGTAACAAGTGCCTTACTAGTAGTAACAAGAAGCTATTAGAAACAAGAAGCTTGTAATAAAAACATGTCCCAAAGGTCAGGACTGCTTCTTAGCCATAGTTGCATGCTTCATCATAGTTCCACCGTGTTCCACATTGACATAGTTTCAGAGCCAGTAAGCTTTGGGCCATCAACAAACTCCGGTGCCTTCACCTGGATGCGAGCACAGGTGGAAGCAGCAAAGATTTGGCTGTGGAATGTTGTTGAAATTATGCGTTGGCCTAATCTTCAATCTACTTTGGTGGGAACAGTCTGATTTTGTAACAACCTGGCCTCTTTTTGCCGCCAGCCAAAGGTACGGCCTGCGTTCCGGCTATTTTCCACAAATCTAAGCATGTGCGATGAATGAAGATTGCCGAACGGGAGACTGTCCAAACGATTCCTCTCTGCATGAAGGACAAATGTCTGGTCCTCCCGTTGCACGGCATCTACTGGGGCAGCAACCTTCTTCTGCGGCACTGGCACCTCTGATGACCTCAGCACAGGAGGAAAGGCCCTTTTCTCCACGAGCTCGACGAGAGTGCAAAATGAAATCCAAATAAATCCTGTATATACTATCTGCAGCGGCTGCCATCTATTCCAGAAGCCACCATACACTTCAGTTTGAAATCTCCTTGGCTCCTTCCCTTTTTCTCTTCCTTCTCCAACTAAACAGGCCAACCCTCTCCCGACCCTCAACTCTCCCTCGGCAGCTCAGGTCCTTACTACAGCCATGGGGTAGCTCCGGCGCGCCAGCGCAGGCGCCAGCTCGGCAAAGTCTTGGCTGACGCCACCGAAGTAGTCCTACCCGGACTGAGGCAAGAGCCAGCCCCGCAGGAAGAATGCGTCGAGGGTCGCGGGTCATAGGGTCATGAGGGCATGAAGAACATCGAAGAACCCAAAAGAAACATCAATAGGACAGCTTTGACTGCAACTAGGGGCTCCTGGCATCGCTACTAGGAGCGAGGACGCTACTAGGCGCTCCTGGCCTTACTACTAGGAGCAAGGACGCTACTAGGGGCTCCTGGCCTTACTACTAGGAGCAAGGACGCTACTAGGGGCTGCAACACCTTTTTCATTCTCTTCACATTGGTCCTCGAGCTGAAAGAGCGAGACACCCTGCTTGCCGCGGGACCTGCGGGTGGTTGGGATCAGCGGGGGTACAGGGATGACGAAGAGTTCTTTGATACCACCACTGAGTTCTCTGACAAACCTTGTGCGTGGTGAATGTTTCAACTAGCCGCCACTCGTCCCAAGAGGTTTCTCATCCTGGTTCTACCTGTTCACTAAGGTTGAAGATCCACTATATATTGCTGTGATTCTGCCTGCAGCATATCACACCATCCAGCTCGAAGGCAACCTCAGGGCAGCTCAGCTTGACCTCTACCATATTGTAAACATGGTGAGAAAGAGAGGTAGACAGCTCAAGTCGAAAGATGTGTTTCCTGGATTTCCCCAGAAACGAAAAAAAGTGAACGAACTTCCAGACCATGTCTCTCTTCCACTCGGTTTCACAGATCATACAAAAGCTGAGCAGC